TCGTCACCCCTAGTCTCTTTCTCCCCTCGATACTCCTCGATGGTTCCGTATCTGTAACCATACATACCATGCGCCATGTGTTATCCATTTTTATGATACCCATAACGTTTCCTCTCTTCTTCCCCGTTCTATGAATGAGGAAAAATATTATAATTATTATTATTATTATTATTACTTCATCGCTATTTTAAGAAATTAATATATGATGTTGGATTATTTTTCCAGCCATTCTTTTTCTTTCCTTTTTTTTTCCTTTTTTTTTGTTGACTTTTTATCAAAGACAACAACAACAACAATTCCAATTTCGTAAAAAATTTGTATGACGACCAAGTCGTTATTGTACCACTTGCTATACCATAGTCGATAATTTTAAACAGTGGAACAGCAGTAGTCCGACTCCTGGAACATTCTAACTCAGATCATGTGGTTTTGACTTTATCGGCTTTCAGTCGAAGACAAGACTAACAACTACTCGGTCGGTAAAAGTGATGGTATAAACCTAAGGATGGTCCAAAAGGGAGGAGGCTTGAAGACACGAGTTCGAATTCGCTTTCGTTTAACAGAAACACATCGGCGGAGTATTTTATGTGGTTGGACCTTCTTCGTTGGCCGAGAATGCCTATCTTTTATATCGCTTCAACGAAGAAAGAGATAGAGAGAGAGAGAGAGAGAGAGAGAGAGAGAGAGAGAGAGAGAAAGAAGGGGAGAGAGAAAGAGAGAGAATAAAAACGCGGGAAACTAGTGCGAGACGTGCTTCCCTCCGGTTGCTAAGGCCCAGGTTTTGCGCGGGAAAGGTTTCGCCAAGTCCCCTCAAAGGACGTCATTTTCGTTCTAATTAATTATACATATATATGTATATATATTTAAATTTTTACAAATTGAAAAAGTGGAGTCAATTGATTTGGCTTGGGAACCAGAAAAATGCAACTGTATTATTTTTTCTTAAATGGAAATCCACACTTTTAATTGCATCAGTCGATGCAGTTTTTTATGCTTTATATAAAAGTATTAACATACTTATGTCTTAAACTTAGGAAGTTATCGTAGCTGAATTTTTTTCTGAATTATTTTGATAAACATGAACCTACGGCTATTAATATTAATTACTAATATTAATATAAAATTAAGATTTTCATTAATAAGTATTACATGTGATATTATTCGTTCATTACCACTTGGTGATAGATCTATATAAATAATTCATCTTTGACCTAATAACATTTTTAATTATTTTAAAATTACAATATTTTCGTGTGGGTGTTTAATTACATACATACACACATATATACGAAATTGGTCGTAACTGAATCGTAACGAATGTTCAAAATTTTTTTCTTTTTTTTTTCTCTCTTTTTTTACGAAGGGTTGGGTCCTCTTCCTCTTGTGGTTCTCGTCTATTTTTTCTTTCCCCTTCTCTCTCTCTCTCTCTCTCTCTTTCTTTTTACGAGTGAGAGCGTGGATTTTGATGATATTTATTCAGTGTACAGAGAACAGGACCGTACGAAATATCACATTTGTGTTTACTTCCTACACACTGGTTGATACTTACACACACACACACACACATATATATATATATATACACCGAGTAAAAAGGGCGGCACATGTGATATATCTTTGGGCGCATATGCGACAAGATGATCAAGCTTCGAATGCACCATCTCCCACTACCCCCTTCCCTTTCTCTTGATTTTATATTTGGTAATATCTCCCACAGACACACCCATGCTTTCATTCTACAACACTGATCCATACGAAGTTCGAATATCACATTCTTCCTGTCCTCGAGTACGAGCTGGTAATTCTCTCATCCTCCTTCCTCCTTTCTCCTCCCTTCTCCCTATATTTTCTCCCTACCTTCTCTCTCTCTCTCTTTCTCCCTACGCGTTCGCAATGAAACAATTAAATTAATCGGCCGTATAATTCCAACCTCTTCCGGTCCAGCAAGCTATCCTTCATTTTATCTGGTCTCGTTTACTTACGAACATTGAAAAGTTTTTATTTTATTTTCTTTCTTTTTTTTTTCTGTTCTTTCCATTTCTTTTCTTTTTTCTTTCATGCGAAAATTTCGTCGAGAAAATTATCTCGTCGAAAGTCGAACGAGACAATGAAATTTTTACAAAGGTGACAAGAATTCTTTTCTATGGTTGGACGTTTCTAACGTGGCTAAACACCAATACTGTACTACGTTTGTTTGGTCATCCATGTCGTTCCTTAACCTTCAAGTTAAAAACTACTTTAATCCCTGGAAACTTAACATCCATAACTATTTTCTTATACCACAGGAAAGATTCACATGGCTTGCAGATGCAACTTAGCTTGCCGTTTATCTTTTTCCTTACCTTCAATTCTTTGACCTAGGTCTGACGAAGTTTTAAAGAGAGAGAGAGAGAGAGAGAGAGAGAGAAAGAGAAAAAAAGAGGTATCAGATACGTAGATAGAAAGCTTTAAAGAGTAAATTCATAAACTCGTCGTAAGTGTAAATGGATTACTATTTGTATACGTAATAATTCGATGAAAAAAAAATAAATAAAATAATTCTTGACAAAGTTTCAACTAAAGAATTTTAAGCACTAATATAAAGCATTACTATTGAATAAGTTTCGAAGTAAATTAAAGTCGATTTAAAGCACGACTTTAAAGCAAGATCTAACATCTATTTTTAATGATAGGAATGACTGTTATTAACAAAATTTATGAACGATAGTCTTCGTTTGTTTTCAATGAAGAAAATTATATAAATTATTTATAATATAGAAATTAATATAATAAATGAATGGACGTATAATTAGAATATAATTAGAATATCTTTGGCGTATTTTATGTTAGCTCGTTATGAATAAAAAAAGAAAAAAAGAAAATTTAAATCAAAGGTTGACAAACGAAGTATCAACCCAAAAAGAGAGAAAGAGACCGTTGAGAAAAATAAATTCGGTAAGGTCGATCGTACGGTTTAGAACCGATTCGTTAAGGGATCGCATTTAAGGGTGTACCCAGGGGTAAAAGACCATCCCTCTCCGTTTAATAGCCTTCGTTCGTATAATATCGAGACGTATGTCAGTACTACGTACGTAGGTACGTACGTACGTACTAGCTTTCTGTACGTACTCACGTACAGAAAGATGAAACGGCGAATGATAGGGGTTGTGGGAAGAAGGGAGGGTGAGAAGAAGGAGGAGGTGGAGGAGAAGAAGAGAGATGAACGGCGGCAGCCGGTAGATCGCGTGATTCATTCACAGTTGTGTTCATTTATCCCTTTGTATGTATTAAGCTTTGTGCCCGAGTTGTTAAATCGATTTATAGAGAAATATATTTCCACCCTTCTACACCCTCCTTCATTCGTCTCTCTCTCTCTCTCTCTTTTTTTTTCTCTGAACGAATTTGAATTTTACGATAATGAAGTAAATTTTACAAAATATTCTTTTCGAAAGAAGGCTAATTAATTATTGAATACTTGATAATAGCGATTCTTCTCTGATAATGGCAATTTTTGAAAAAGAAGGTTTTCTTTGTTTTGTTGAAAACAGCATATATATATATATATATATTTTTTTTTTTTTGAGTATTGTAACTAATATTTTTCTTTTTTTGGGGGGGATGGATGATGGAAGGAGAGGGCGAATTTCGATGAAAAAAATATTTCTTCTAATTTCGACGTATTTCATATAAAGAGAAAAAAGAAGAAGATATACTATATTTGGTAGCCCTCGACTCTAATAGTAATTGACTGTAGCAATCTTAATAGCAATTGAGAACATCTGTTAGAATGGAATCTGTGATGGTAAATATATGGTAAGAAAGAATATAAATATGAAATTTAACGAAGGGTCTATACGTAATTACATATATCCTACCGTTCAATAATAATCATTTCACTTGTCGATCCACTTTGCCGATAGTCAAAAGTAGTTGTTGCTGTTGTCGTCGTCGTCGTTGTCGTCGTCGTTGTTATTTTTTTTTCTCTCTGATTCATGAAGAATAATCGCATCTCGCATTCATTTCATCAAAGAACAGCGAGGAGTAACCGCGAATCCGCGTGATTTTCTCTCTTTATTTATTTCTTCTTTTTTTCTAACCCGATTTCGTGCATCTTTTATCTTCTTTCGTTGTCGTCGTCGTCATCGTCATCGTCATCGTCCTCGTCATCGTCCTCGTTCTCGTCGTCGTCGTTTGTGCATGCGGTCAACGGAACATAGTAATTCGTCTGATGCGGGCATCGGCACATATGGGAGAGAACATGTGTTCTCGGTAAAGCATGAAGAGATCTGTTGGACGATCGAACTTTTCCCGTCTCCTCCCTCCTACCACCCTAACACCCTCCCTCCCGCTCCCTTTTGTGTCGACATCTTGCGATCTCATTTAGTCTTTATTCATCACACTGATATATGTATGTATTCTATTTATCTGCGTATACAGTAAGTATATGTATGGGCAAAACACGATCTTTACAACGGGATAAATCATGTTTTTTTTTTTTTTTTTTTTTTTTTTTTTTTTTTTTTTTTTTTTTTTTTTTTTTTTTTAGATTCGACCAAACGACTTATTCTTTTATTTTTTTTTCGTTTAAGTCTTCAAATTATCAGACTCTTTTTTTTTACCACTCTGTACATAGATATATATATAAATGACATAAGTTTTCAAAATATGTTACGTGAATGTTCATTATGTGCCTAGATAAAAAAAAAAGTCGTAAAAAGTGTCTTTCATTTTTTTTTGTTCGCGATTATGACCGAATAGAATTAAAAAAAAAAAATTTACTTTTGACTTTACACGTCCAAAAAGAAAAGAGGAAGAAAAAAATCAAGTCGTTCGGCCGAATATTACAGAAACAATTATTCTCTTGTAAAAAGCACTTTACTATATGTTACACTTTATTGTACGTACTTATTCAACTCGAATACAATTCATCAAATATGTATTTCCACATAGTAATTTTAATCTCATTATCTTTACGTAACTACATCATCATTATAATTATTTCTTTCTTTTTTTAATTTCAGATTTGTCCAAGGTAATCTCGCCGAATGTGGGAAAAGAACAAAGGTAAGTGATACTTATCAGCAACTTGTTCTAGCCGCTTGCTAATATACATACGTGATCACACACACATATATATAGATACCTAGGAACTTCACGATTAATATTGTGGAATTACAAGATAATTTGTCAAGAAAATTTTCTACTGCTTTGAATTCAACTGTGACATGCATGTTAACATATTTTTTCTTTTCTTTTTTTTTTACTCGCCATCTTTTCAAAGATCAAAGAGTTGTTTTTCTTTTTTTTCCCCAATGTTCAGTTGTGGTAATAGTTTTTTTTTTGTAATCAAAGTTATATCTGGTAAAGAAAAATGAGCATCGTTTACAAGAAATTCGACATCTAGCATATACATACATATGTATATATATTTATGTACGTATATATGTATATTTTATCACAATTACATTGTCGATTGTATCATAATAGCGAAAAACTTGAAAGCTATACTCTACTTTACCTATTCATAAATTTATTTTAATTCCGTCGAAAGCCCGCATTCCTAATGATTCTTTTCAGATTAATGTCTCTCTATAGGGGTCCATTAATGTTTCCCTTTTTACCCCTCCTATCTCTCTTTCTCTCTCGTTCCTCTGAAAGGAAACGATAAATACAAGTAATTTGTATTTATCGTTTCTGCTTTTTGTATTTCGAAAATCTCTGTCGATGTAATCCATGATTTTTTAAACATCAAACAGTATCGGTATTTTTACGAAATAAATGAAATCATTATATATATATATATATATATATATATATATATATATATATATATATAGCGTACTCAAGTTGATCTATTAATCCTGAATGAAATAATCCTTTCTTAAGGATTAAAGAAGAATGAACGCTTTCGAGATAATATAAAATAGTATTACATAAGTACTTTCTTCTTTTTCTTTGTTTCTTTTTTTTTTTTGATCGATCGTCTCAAGCAAAGTATCGTTTTGTCTATTTAAAAGGCTTTTTTAAAGAGACAATCATTAGGAAAATGTTTTTTTTTCCCTTCACCATTGAATGTGAGTGCCGTATCATCGTACCCACGCACACATATCTATTATAGACATACAATGGAACGTAAGGATGGGACACGTAGATTTTCTAGAAATATTCGAAATATTTTTAAAATCCTAGGAAAAACGAGGATCTTTTCGTGCGGTATCTTGATCCTTTTACCGAAGCACTGAAAAGCCACGCTAATACCGTTTCTTAAGTATTTCGCGAACTCAAACTTTTCTTCTTCGTCGGAATTTTCTTTCTTTTTCTTTCTCACCTTTCCTCTTAGGTACTTCAAGAAAAGTACGGTTTTCGTTTTCTCGGAAGTATCATAAAAGAGGGTTGCATTCGTTTCTTCGTATTTCGATAAAGAAGCTAAAATACATACATACATACATATATATATATATTTTCTTTTTGTAATTTGGAGTATTGTAATTTGACAATAAAAAAGAAGATAAAGAAAATTATCGGGAGAAGGAAAATTAATATTCAAAATAATCTAGGGACTTTTGATTTATAATATATAATTTTTTTGCTTGTCGTATTATATGTAGTCATCGGAGAATGCACATTTGTAATTAACAAATTAATCTTGTAAATTTTATATCGTCTCCCGTTACTTTTAACAATCGCGATATATCTCTTCTCTTATCTTCGAAATATCTAGGAGGAAAAGAAAAAGATAAATGTCTGGTTTGGTGGGAATATGAGTCCGGTAGGTATCTTTAAAGGGGCTAGGGTTTTGTGTGAATCGTAGAAAACCGCCTACAGGTATGGGGACTTTGTAACAATGATTGAAAGGAATCACAGTATAGGCCGTTTTATATCTTTATTTAACAATTAGGTTGTTTCGTATGGTTCAAGTTACCAAAGGTTCGAAACCTAAGGTTGCTCTACGATGACTCGTCCTCGCGTACGAACTTTGTCTTATTCGTACGAACGAGCTCTACGCTCGTTCAAGCGTGTGAGTTGCTTACAATTGCGATCGAAATATAAAAGGAAGTAGTAGTAGAGGAGCCTTTGCTCCAGTCGATCCAACAACCGGAAATCCTTTTATCGGTCGGTGCGACGAGAAAGAATAAAAAAGAAAAGAAAAGAAAAGAAAAACAAAAAGAAATAATGCGAAAGAAGAAAAGAAAATTGAAAGAGGACAAAGGTGGTACCTCGTCGTCGAATAATAATTAAAAGGTTATAATTAAAAAGTAGAAAAAAGAGTTGGTATAGAAGAAACAAAAGCAAGTGCTGGACAGAAGAATGTCGGGAGAGGGGGAAAAAAAAAAACAGAAAGAAATAGAAAAGAAAAAGAAACAAGGCAGAACGAACGAACGAAAATCGGATAATGAAGATTGCTCAGCTTCGAATGATCATTTTTTAAATTGACTCGTATCTTACGATTACTTAAAAAAGAAAAAAAGAAAAAGAAAAACAATAAAAATAAAAGTATTAAATTTTTCAAATGGTCAAACTATTTTCATTATCTTTTTCAAGGATATAAAAGAAGAAAGAATGCTCTCGAGGATAATATAAAGTGGTATATTTTTTTCTATATTTTTTTTCTTTTTTTTTTTGTTCTCTTTTTTTATCTTTTTTGTTCTTTCTTTATCTTTATTCTTTCCCTTTAAGGGGTACAGGCATGAAGTCGCACATGAAGCATGCTGAGTTTCTCAATTGTGTACCCTTACAGCTTATACGAAACGTTTACAATTCTACGTTACCGCTGTGTTTCAAATTTTTCCTTTTCTATTTTCTATTTGCTGTCTTTACTAGAGAGTAGAGAGAAGAGAACATAGTTGAAAAGTAATGGCCATTTTTACGAAAGTCTTCTTTCTCGACCGTGTCTCGTGGCGAGGCTCTATCTCGTTGTGTTACAAAATTCGCGAAGGAAGAAAATAGAAAAGGCAAGAGGAGAACTACCTTAGCTATAGTTTCTAAACTATTCCCCACTCACCCTCCACCCTTCAAAATGGTCGTTCCAAGACTATAGACAAAATTCTTCTTCTTCGAGGGAAACGTGTTTCTTCTTTTGACAGGAAGTAGAACCCTTTCATACGATTATTTATTATTCTTCATGCATTCACGTTTCTCGGAGAACAAAATCCGGTTAACTGGATCGTACGTTTTGCTGGAATACTTCAAACGTTTTTCCTTTTTCTTTTTTTTCTTTTTTTTTTTTCTTTTCTTTTTATAGATTGAATTTTTTTTAATAAAAATTAAACAAAATTTAGCGATCGATATATATAAGTACACTAAATCTATGAAAAATAATTTTCATTGAGACATATTTCGGGCGAAATTACTTTTCTTTCTTTTTCTCTTCGCGAATTGAATTGATTAAAAATTTTTTTATTCGAACGATTTTAAAAGATATTTCACTCGTTACTTCTCTCTCTCTCTTAACTATATCGAAAGGTTTTAAAAGCCTTCTAAAGTTTTTCTCTTTTTCTTTTCGAGCAGAAAGTGGCACACTGATGGCTTTCATGTAGCTCACGCTGACGTGTAGGTACCGAATGTCTGTATACCTATACCGGTACGAGGAGGGTTCCGCGTTCATTCATGACTTCGTTCATTCATCGAATCTCACGAGGTCCATCCTCCCTACTTCTTCCACGAGTTCTCGTCATCTTACCGTCCTTGTTCGCAGCACGTTCTTCTCTCTCTTTCTCTCTCGCACAGATTCTCTTTCTGTCTGTCTCTGTCTCTCTCCGTTGTCCTTCTCAAAGTCGCGAGCCGGAAAATGGCTCGAGCACTTGGCGCTTAGTCGTCTTAGGCGTGCTGCTCCTTTTATTCTTTATTGCTGTGAACTCGGCTTCGAAGAGCAAGAGTAAAGTTTCTAATGTACGACAGACCGTAACGGTACCGAGGTAACGTCACGCCTTTCGTGAACACACGGAGATCGTTGTTTCCTTTATTGTTGTTGTTGTTGTTATTATTATTATTTAATATTGATTAACATTATTTTTCATTTAATATTGATATTTTTGTTCTGTCGAGAGTTACTAATTTTTCTCTAAATTTGTCGAAATTAATGACTTTCCAAAATAACAAAAAGAAAATAAATAACATGAACAATAATAAGGAAATACCATCATTCGGAACGATTCTTCTCTTTTATTTATTTGTCCTCCGATTATTTTTATTTATTTATTTATTTATTTTCTTTTTTCTCGCTCGCTCGCTCGCTCGCCCTAATAAGTCAGTCCTTGAGTAATTATAATCCTAGCGAAGAGGATCTACCGGAACGAAAGCGGCCAGGTCTTCTTTTATGTAAGCCTTCGAGAGGAATGTATCTAGATAGTTAGATAGCTGAATAGAGTAAAAATAGAGAGAAATGGTTGACCTGCAAGTGCAGCGAAAGATGATACGTAGTTGGAGAGAAAACTAACAGAATGACTTTGCTATTCCGTTACTCAGCCATTTTTGTTCTTTTCTTCTCTTTATTTTCTTTTATTTGGTATCATCACTCTCGAAAAATTTATCTACACTTTCGCGTCTTTGTCGAACATTTTTCTTTTTTCTTTCTCCCCTACCGATGATATATTACAAATACCTTTCGATATCAAACTACTATCGTCTTTTCGTAACACTATACTATATAACGTTGACAGAGTATAACAGGATGTGGGTGCTGTTGTGGACAACGTGGCTCCGTGAGCCACAATAACGCTCTCGTTCTTAACGGAAAATCTTTTGAAGATATATTTTGAAAAGGCGACGCAACCCACATAAAGACCGACTAATAAATTGTTTATTTATTTATTTATTTTCATACTTCGATAAATTATTTCATTGATATTTCGCGAAAGAAAGAAAAAAGAAGGGCAAGAAAGGGCATTATTTTTTATCATTTATTTTATTTTTCTTTTCTCCTTTTTTATTTGTCATACGATCAATTTTACTTCATCAAATTTCATTTTAACAAACATCGAGAAGTAATAATCAAAAAGTAAATAAGATCCTCGAAAATAAAAGTAAAAGGATCGAAAGAGAAAACGAAAATAAGAAAAAAAAAC